ACCTATTTATTATATTAATGGACGATACGCTTTTTCGCCTGATGCTCCTAGGGGCTCTATAAACTAGCGCGTCTGTCTGACCGTCACTCAATGGAGACTCCACTCAGTACGTAGCACGGGGATAACACCAATCAGTCGATCAGTACTATTGTCTCTTACATTTACAGCTCGCTCTCGTTACGGCATATATATGTGTGTTACTCAAAAGGTTACGATTTCTCTGTCGTAACATTCGACATTGATCGGCCCGGACCAAAAACTTCTTCCTCGAAAAGCGTGGTTCATATTCCTCAATCGGGCGAATAATGTGTTCCAAATACTACAATTCAACGAGAAGGGAAAACAGAATAGATACGAATGGGTGTCTAGATTACAAAAAGGTTTCGATAAAGAGGAGGAATAAAGTATAGGCTAAGCAAGATTTTAAATAGACGCCTCGTTCGCGGTCGAAAGTGAATTTTACATGTATAAAGCGAGTAAAATTTGCTTGAATTTTTGTAGATTTTTAAGGCCAAGCTCAATTGTTTTTTAACTAGCTGGACACATACGGTGCATTAACAAGCCTTATGTAACGAGCATCCTGCTAATAGAGCGGCACATTAACCTGAGATAATTCGTTTAAAATTTGACTGCATATTACATTATGAAATATTATTATATTATCTTGTATTTTTTTTGACTAATCGTATATATTGATAAGCGAATTTAAATGTCTTATGAAGTCTAAGTTTGTTCTTTATTTATTTATTTATTTTACTAAATTTGTTTAATAAATGTGTGTCTGACTAGATGTTAAGGGTTGGCACAGGTTACTGCTGTTTATTTTTCTCATATAATTTGGTGTTGCATTTCGCTGGTTCTCCATAGGCCAACGGCCTTGTACGGCAACTTTAACGTAGTCGCTTAACAAGATTACTACGTTACACCACAGCCAATTCGCAAGTCTGCTAGAAAAAAAAGGCCAGAGAAGTTTAGTAAGGCTTGTTTAAGATAATGCCTAACGACCTAAATACTGGGCATGAAAATGAAAAAAAGGTTCGACAATAGGTAGGAAATATCTATATTTGCTGGATTTCGCATTAAATAGCGATAATCGCTTTAATCAAGTGGAAAAGAATGGGCGACTTGTCTGGTAATTTTACTTAAGTAAAGATTTAAAGGCCCGTTCGCTGCCTTCATGCTAGACAATACTTTACAGTCAGCTTCAGAATCTTTAACGAATTTAGCATTACGCTGCTGCTATCTTAAAAAAAGTGTGCATGAGACAGGGTTATGCAATATATTAGCGGTTAGCCAAACAATATTATACCAATTTAATTGTCTACAGACAGCCAACTATTTACAACCTTTATTACGTGAACAGGTTAACGTTTAAGAATGTTCATTTGTCTATGCGTAATCGAAAGGCTCACCGACCCACAGAACTCAACGCAGAACGCCGTGCCTCTTGTTTCTTTGGGAGGAGTGCACCTCTATGCTCAGGTATTTTAGGAAATTCGGTTGCGCGACCGTTTCCATTAAACCGTAAAAACGACCGCTTGATGTAAGTATACTTTGTGTAGGAAGTGAGAACTTGGGTTTGTACGTGGCTGTTACTTTTGACAACTCCCGCTTGTGGCTATCTGTACTACTCAGCGACTGTGTGCAAACTATCTTTGTTACAAAGCGCTATCTAATCTTGCCTCTAAAATCCAACACAGACCAATACTGATTTGCAGAATATTGCAAATGGTAATGTGAATCTAGATTGTCCAGCCTATGGCCGCTAAACTACTCCATTCTTGGAGCAGATGCGTCCCAGATCCGCTATCCAGCGCGAGATTCTCTCAAGCACGAGTTTTTCTCAAACGTTTCCATCAGCATGATTAAATCTACAATAACAATGAGACACTACCGTCATCTCACAGCTGTATGTCGAATTATTAGTCTTAACAAACTAGAATTTATCACAGGTGCTTGTTATGCTATTGTCAGGTGCCATGGCATGTGGGTCTGGGCTACTGCTAAGCTACAGGGGCCTTACGGGGGACCAGAATTGTGTGATGACCCAAATTTGACTATCACCATGGCTAATCTGTCCTCGTGCCTAGGTGAACTGGCCTTCCCAAACTCCTCGGGGGCCCAACCGAAACGACTTGGAGGCAGTATTCAATTCTACTCATTTTAGATACATCTTACGCCAATATAAAGCTGCGCTAGGACTTTATGGTAACGGGCGAGGTATCGGACGTAATTAGATGCTTCAGTGCTATATAGTAGTTTTGTGTGAGGCTATTTATAGTCGAGTTATCAATTGGTTCTGGCCGCATTGGTATTATGCAACTGTAAAATTAACGCTATTTTAAAAAAAATAATGGTAAATTCGTGATAGAGTAGGTCATATAAATGGGCTATTCAATTTACCTATTTCGGTGATCTATATACAAGTATTCTCGAGAGTAATTATTAAGCCCACCTGTTCAACTACAGGCAACATTTCTGCAGAATTTTTGATAGCTTTATTTGATCAATTTTGCTTCGTCCCTGAGATCTTCATGGTTGCCATGAAATATTGTACACTGTTTAATGTTCTCTCTGATATAGAATGTTATGCTGTCAATAGAATGTCTCGCTGCAACATTACGCCCTATTATGGCGGGATCCTTCTTCGATATCGGTTCTACTACAGAACGGTGGCAAGGGCTTTTCCTCGATGGAAAATTAAACTCGCTCTGGGTGGCGTATTTTGCGCATGAATTAGCTACACTGCTGTGTTTCTGTGCGTAGCTTACTTAGTCGTCGTTTGATTACGAATTTCATTAGTGATTTTTGAGAGGAAATGTGGAAATGGCAGCATATGTCTTGGAGCATGATCTTTTATGAACACGACGTATGCATCAAGTTACCATTCGTTTTACTTAGAAGACTCCTGCAAAACGCTGCTAGCGTACAACTGAAACTTGTGAGTTTGCCTTTCTGTCTGAACCCACGAATCAAAACTGTTGTCGACGGGTAAACTCAACTTCTCATCATCCAGTGTGCTGTTTGCCCTTACCTGTAAGGCTATTCCCTTTTAGGCCGAATGAGCACGTATATACGTTGAGGATTATAATTGAGAAGCTTGTCTGATACCGTCTGTAGAAATTATAATTACAAGTTATGATTATTAATAATAGCCATTTGTAGAGCTCTTTATAAATAGATAGAAAAAATTACCTGTGTTAACGATATAGTAACTTAAAGAACAGTGAGCGCTTTGCGAATTTTGCTGAATTTAAATTCGGCGGCTGTATTTACGTCGTGCCAAATGATGCTACTTTCCAAAGAACACACACTATATTTGTGCGAATAAAGCTGTAAATATTGTAGAATTTAGATTAAGTGGACTGCTTGACTTTTACAATGTTGGACGTAGTTCTGGAAAGTCGCTAATGTTGAACACTTAAGAAGTTAATTTTCTCGTTAAAGGTCTCTTTTTTTATAGCTTACGGAGACCCTAAGACATACTGTTATAGCAAATACAGCCCGCAAAGCACAAACGACATAGTCAAATCCGAAATTCAATACGATTCGATTTAACTGATAATCCCTATTTAGCAGACAATAACTTTTCGAATATACTCGATGATAGTCTCGTTGACAAAGTGGCTCTTATTAATTATAATTCAGAATGGACTAATGTCTACGTACCTTTTTTTCCCTGTCAAGCGTCTCCGGTTAAAATAGCTTTTTGTTCATAAGGAAAATTGGTTATGCGATTCGTTTTTAAGTCATGCGTCTCTTCAGCGGTTGGACACGCGCTATTTTTACACACAACTTGCCCTTCTGTTTAGTTGTATTTAACATATGCTTTAAGCCCCCTCGTGATTTGAACAAGATTCCTCGATTTCTTTCATTTGCATCAGTAAATCGTTTAATACCACAATCTCGTGTCCAGCTCACACTTAATTAGCGACGTGTAAGCTCTGCTAGGGTATCACTGTTTAGGGGCAAGCCACAGGATAGAGTTAGTCTCTTGATACTAGAAGCAGTGCAAACGTGTGTCAAATCAAAGTCATAAATAGATCGTTCATTACAATTACATGTTTGCCTCATGTCTCTATTTGTTGCTGTACGCGATTATTCTAGAGTAGGCTTCCAGTACATGCCCCCTATTGGATCGTTCTTATCATGAATGACGCTAGGAACCCATAGGTGTAGCAATGACTGAATACGAACAAAATCGAAGAGCTTTTAGAATTAACTCTACTAGAGCGCTTTTTTTTTTGATCAAGAAGGCTGAATCATCGCCGATTGTATCGTCGCGAAAATTTTGGCTCAAAAACGGCTCAATCGGCTAAGCATCATCACCTACTTTCGGCGTTCGCTGACTCTAGCCAGCTCATTTTCGTTGATCACATGCCAGCTGTCTTTTCCAATAAACCATATGCAATATATGGAAAAATCTAAAATTGTAGGCGAAGTCTAAAATTCAAATAAAGTGACTACATTTTCTAGCTTTATCTATATAAGTGCAATGAGGCATCTGATTCTACGTACTCTATATAGAGTCAGATTTTTTGTCCAATTCATGCATTCGATTGAATTGTCTATACACCGAAATTCATTAATTTGCCCGTCCTCTTGGTCTAGTAAAGCTTTAACTGTAGAGACGAGTCATATTTTCGGGCGTTAACGGATCTACCTATCCAGGTGCAATCGCGGGGACGCATCATTGACTTATCTAGAACCCAAATTTGAAACAGCAAAGTCCTCCTGTTAATACGCTTCTTGAGTGGAAATATTGCTAATAGTCGAATAACAATATTATAAAAAGTAAAAACGAAACGAAAGCAACTTCTCAATATATCCGGTTGCCAAGGCTTCTTTTGGTAAACGGACATTTAAATTATTAGTATGATTACATTTACAACATTACACTACAGTGAACTAATGCACACCACCAACATGAGCACTTCCATAAGGTACAGATAACTGTAACTAAATAAAAACATAAGTTTGTAACTATACAACTTTTATTGTACAAGGGTTTTTTGCAATTTTGAACAAAAGCTCATTTAATCATTTACTTGATACCGAAAAGAACATGGCCTTGACTGGAATACATTTGAGAATTGGTTCGCTTTTCAGCCTCCTTTCCATCGATGTTACCTTTTACTAAAAGTATCGCTAATATGCGGATAAAAAATATCTATTTATTTTTTGATTTGAAGTGTGTATTTTATTGCCCTTTACTTGCATGCATGGAGCAAACTGTGTAATTTACTTCATGTACAGAAGAGTCAATCATCACTTGGGTCATTCCTGTTAAAGCACTGCATTGATCGGCCTTCTCGTGGACCGTATTAGCGTTATACAGTTGTTTATTTACCTATACTAGTCGATGAAATTCCGCCTAACTAGTTGGCACTTATATATATATATATATATATTATATATATATATATATATATATATAATGTATTTACAATTCTAATGATAATACGCGATTCGTTTTACTTATATGAGCCTTACCAACTCACAAACAAGTTCTGTTCTGTTCTTTTATAACAGTGGAATATCTAACTTCTCCTATATTTTGGTTGTTACACATTTGATTATAAACTTGAATGGACAATATCATTTAAATCCTATTGGGTATTATTCGCACGCCGTCATTGGAATCAATGTACTGCTTTGATATACTGTTGAATCAAAACACCGAATCAAACACACTGGCATACTTTCTAAAAATTCACAATATACACATTCTATATAGGCATTACATGTTGCTGAGCAAGCTGGGCAAGCTTTCCACACAAGTACACGTATAAAGCCTGTCTATTCTAATTGGGCAACACATTTATTCATTACAACAATTCTATTATTCTAGCTTATTGAAAAATAACGTCACAATGTACTGCTTTCTATTTTGTTATAATTTAAACAATTCTAATGCGCATATTTTTCGATTTTCGTGTCGTTGTGAATGAAATATCGGTTTATCTTAGAAATAAAATGAAACTATTATGCAACTTTGTGACGCAGATCACTCAGGTCTACGTTCCTTCTTTGCACCCTTCCTACAGGTTTTTAGTTGGGTTTGCATAATTCCCTGTGCAAGTCCACCATTTACTCTTTTTAAGTGTTTTGTTTCGCGTTTCGAGAGAGAGCGACCGCTATAGAGCGTTTCGCCAGAGGATACTCTGATCAAAGAGAGGTTGTCGCTGGCCGCGACTCCATGACAAATCCTCTTGGCACGTACCCGTACTCGTTTAATCGAGGACTGTACACCCAGTACCAACCATCAGCGTTCTGACAGTTCAGATCAGCATAGACAAGCTCTTTTCGTTGTATCGGAAGTTCATATTCGGCATCTGTTTCATGGTCGTACATGACGATAAATTCGGTGGCTTTCGCGCGGTACGGCGTTTCTGACTGCACGATACTGGCAACTTCGCTGTCATTTCCGGTGTGTGGGGCATCTTGACCGCTGGCTTTTGCACCGTGGGGCAGAAGTTCACTCGGACCATTTCTCTGACTGTCGTTCTCCTTTCCGTTTGCCTCTGAATCCTGCCCTGACGAATTCTTACCGGAACTATGATGATGGTGACTATGTGTCCGTCCAGATTCCCCATCTTCAACGTCTTTGGTTTGGTTGCCGCCGACGTTATGGTCCTGCAGCCTGCAGTTGCCCACTGAGGTATTTCGGTTCTGTTGCGACATAGTAGATTTGCGGGTGTTATTGATGCTGCTGCCCTCTCGTTCTCGATACGGGGTTGTCTTTAGGGTATTTGAGTTCGTTGTATTATCACCCTCTACGGCACCGTCAGCTGCCGGTGTAGTCGTCCACTGACTCGCCGTCGTACTGGCGTTTAAATTTAGGTTGTTACTTGTTAGATGCTCGCTGCTACCTAGGTTGTTTCGAGTAGTTGGAAATGCGCGATCCGCAGTGTTATGGTATGTGTGCAATGAGACTGTACCAGATTTTGTATCATATCGATATTCTTTTTGGGCACTGGCCGAATCGTTGTTAGCAGAGAACGTTAAATCCTTAAAATCGATACTGTCCAGAAGTTTGTCGACCTGTTTTGAAGAAGCTAGAGGTTTTTGGCTAGTTGCCTCTTGCCGCAAAGTTGTCGTCGCACCTGTGGTCACACTCTGTGCTTCAGAAGATACTTCGGGACTTTGTGCGTGCGAATTGATCACATCGGCGGGAAATATGAACGCGGACGGGACAAATCCTTCGTGGCCATTATATCGTTGCACCCAAAACCAGTCGGCGTCCTCACGATTTAGAACAGTCACGAGTTCACCTCGCTCAACGCTGATGTCGTTCTCGTCTCGAGCAATAAACGAGTACAAGACCAAAAAACGACCGGCTGGATCCTTGAAGAAAGGGTGCACGTCCGTCAAGCACGACGGGGTATCGACCGATTCGATATCTGAGTGAGCAATGCTGCTCTCCAGGGAAGACTGCTGATGATGATGATGCTCTTCTGACAGACGTTCTTTTGCATACAAAAGGCAAAAATCAATCACAAAAAACGAACAAAGATTCTTATTGCGACGCGTTAACACTAACTCAGATTACTACTTATCTGTATATATCTAAAGTATAATATACACAACAGACATGTAAAGTTAAACGTTCATTAACTCATAATAAATGTTCATTAAACGCATAAGCCCGTTAAATCCCGTCAGAATCCAAGCGATAATTAATCGTCAGAGTACATTACGGACCTATAGTTATAAGCACTTCCTAATACTAATAGTTCTAAATCATGACGTGTCGGTATACATAAAATGCAAGTGTATATTTAGATGGTATATGGCTTATAATAGACCAGTTTAAAATGGCTGATTTGCAATAACGCCTAGTGTCCATTTCGATGACGCTTCAGGTTTATCTGACTTACAGAAAACAGAACGGTTTTGTGATTGTCTGACTAAAGTAAGTGCTGATAGTGAGTTCAAACGAAACGTACACATATAACGAACTCACCTCTAGGACTTTTTTTGGAGATGCTGAGCGCGACTTGTGCCATTGGAGAATCAACCGGGACACAGTACGATTGTGGGATAAATCCTTCACGCGAACCGCTGATAACGTACACCTGTAACGACAGTCATAGTAATGTAATCTGGGTTAATAAGAGTGTCAAGCCTGCCTCAAGTATGCTGACCTTCGGCCACTTCGAGATTACATAGATGACTATATATGGTTGTGCAATTACGGGTATTATATAGTATATTTGTTAGACATCGATGGGATGTTAAGATCCGGTGCAGCCCTATTGTATGGTCTCTGTAATGCTGCAGTGGTAACGAGTTAGCCCACTATACTTAGGTCCATGTGGTGGGGTAAGCCTGAAACTGTGCGTAAACAGATCTCGTTTAAAGGTTCTACGGGCTAGCCATCCGGAGTAATGCTAAACGACGTGACATTTGAAATAATTTATTAGTTTTATTCCTATTATTATTATTATTATTATGATTTTTGATAAATGCCTTAACAGCTTTGTTTCACTGTTGCGTTTCCTTGGCTGGATTACAGGCGAGTTCAGACAACAACAACAGAAAACGATATCAAGAAGCTTGAATTTTATATATAGTCACAGAATACGAAATCTTAACATGAATTTCTACCGAACTTTTGTACGCTCCGGGCCGGGCAATGGCGAAATGGCTAGTGCGCCCTTCGATCAACCACAGCTCTTGCGAATGCTGCACGCCTGATACTGTGTGTTGTCATGTTCTGAATTTTAAAAACAACGTTACAGAACGGAAAATTTGATCTGCCTCAACAACAGTCATTGCTAACATCAATACCTATTTATATTGTATAAAATTTTTTTATTAAATGGACGGCTGGTAGAATGACTATTGCAAACGCATGTGTAATAACTTCTTAAAAAAAAAACACATTTTTACAACGACATATAAATAATGTTGTGGACACTATTGCTTTTTCACAGTTTATGCTTGAATTAACTCAATATAATTTAATAGAATCAAATAAATGGCACATTCATTCGCTTAGTTGTTTCTGCTATTTAGCCTCATTATACGCATTCGTGACTCTTATCAATTTACGTGCAACACGATAAATACTATAGAGTTCGTCGACCATCGACCTTAAGATAAACCAATGATCAAATTCTCAATAAGTTACTATGGTAACAACATCGATTGGAAGGTTAAAACATTTCGCCATACTACCCAAAGAAATGACTCAAAAAATCGCTACGATTATTGCTGGGACGCACCATTGGTCTACTTCAACTAATCAGGTCATACCGATAAACGATAAGTACTTGGTCAAGGTACCTATTTTCGTCGTATCTGAATTTCATTTTAAAATTTGGCGATGATTTCTGCGGTGAACTGCATTTACCCAAATTAATTCGTGCTGTTTCACCGCTGTCTACCACGGATCGCCTCAAATTCATTAACCAATTTGACAATTTTGTCAAATAATTTCGACCTCTAGCACGGCAGAACGACAAATGATAGATAGCCCGAAACACATTCATTGCAGGCAAGATACGCCGATCCTTTCTTTGATACAGGACGTGTCTAATGTACGCAAGTTAGTCCCTTTTGCTCTCTTTTTTTAGAAAAAGATTACACCAACTTACAAATTCGACTTGTGTATTTTCGTGTCTTATTCAATGTCTTTAGGAAACCCAAGTATATAACAGGTCTTCCGCTATAAAAAGAGAAGTTTATGTTTTTGAAGAAGATTATTCCAGCTGAAAGAGTAGGGTAACAAAGTGGCATGGTTTGAGCGTAGTTTTACAATTTCCTGTATAGCGTAAATATGGTTCTCCCCGTATGATCTTGTCCGTAGCAAAACTGTGGCGTATCGGTTAAGAATGGAACGACGTGCTGAAAAACTGTCCGATGGTACAACTCAAGAGAGACCATGAAATCTAATTGGAAACGTGGTATGGTAGAATTAGCACAGATGGCAAACGATTACTTTGACAACTTATAATGTCACATTAAATTATAATTGTACACAAAAACCGGACGCAAGCTAATATTCTGACCATATATGCTTTGAGGTGCATGGGCATTCAAGCCAGTAAAATATGATTGCAAATATAATTAGTGTAAACTGAACATAAATTTTTATTTATTCAAAAAGACCAACATCGCTACCTTGGAGAATGCATAAACTTACGTACCTTCTCTAGAAAAATAATAGTTTCCTCTTTAGGCTTCAGTTAAGAGATCTGTTCCAGTTTCTATATCGTTTCCCCGATACCATGGGGTATCATTACTCAGGGGAATACGGCAAGCAATATTTATCTTGTACACCTTGGCCTCCCCTCCGTCTATGCCACCCCACATGGCTGTTATATAGTGACATATAACAACCATCTCCTCTTGGACCTCGAGGCCCAATAAGGGCTACCAAAATCCCGCCATTCTGATAACGTTACGATATTCTACTGTATTTATAACTGAATAGAGCTTCATCAGCACACGTCTGAACAAAGTGGTACAGAAAAACTTGGCGCACGGGAATATAACTCACTTCTTCGGCTATTCTACTGTACCTGGCTCTTAGTTCTGGTATCTTGCCTCTCCGTCTACTCAAATAGTCAGTCCACATCAGCATCACCTCGTATCAACAAAAGACTCATCTGTTACGCCCATAGTACCTGTTGCTCTCGTTGCTGCTGTTGTTGTTGTTGTTATGGTGTGCGAATCCGTTATCTATCTATTTGCTATCGGTGCTGCTTTTTCGAAGCTCGCTTCTAATGCTCTAGTATCTGGAGCGAGCGTCGGTCTCTACTGGCTGTCGTCGGCAAGGGAAATCGGGCCTTGAGGCCCGGTCGAGCGTCTGATTTCTCCAACTCGCACACGCCACCATACACGGATGTCACCAACGACGCGGACTGTGCGTACAACTCCAGCCTGAAATCGGGCGGCCGCTTGCTTTGCAATGCTTCGGCTGTCTCAGTCTGTCACTATTTTCCTCCTTTCTCTTTTGATTTCGCCAGCTCTTCTATGAGTGTTGTTTTCAGGGCCCCGGATCTCTTCAGCGTTGTCTGTTTGTCGTCGTCTTGTGTTTCAGATCTGTTTTTATTCGGCTCGGCGGCCGCGACGCCAGTAGCAGCAGTGACTTCAGTTGTTTTTTTGTTACCGACGACTCGTGGAGTCGTTTTGTGCGGTGGTCGTCGGTTTGGTTCTGCGGCTGGGTACGTTGTGTTCGCTCTGGGCAAGCGAATTCGGTGGCAGCAAAATTCAATGTGCAGCAAACATCGTAATCGTTCTGGCCGTTTGGCGAACCCATCCGTAGCTGTTGTTGTCCTGACATGACGAAGCCAGCCAGGCTCTGATGGCAATAAGCGACGCCACCAGCAAATCTACACTACGTCACGGCGCTAGCGGCTCAACTCGTATATATGCATAGCAGTAAATGGCTAATGCGATGGTGACAAGCTAGACAGACCAGAAAAACGGGTTTGACCCCGCAGCTCTCTGTGGAGTGCAACTTCTGCTGGCGTGCTTCACAGACAGTGTGAGGTAACTCAGATCCTCTCCTTTGCAAAAATAAACCGAGGAGATAAAGCCAGGAGCAATGTGACAATGCAATTGGCAGAAGACTGGGGCTGTAATAGTCTATAATTCGTATGACTCTAGCCCATTTTAGAAAATAGTAACGTCTTACGGTTTTGGTTAGTCAGCTTCTATATATACTTAAATAGCTAAAACACATGTTGACTGATTCGATGGAACAACGCGGTCGAAACAAAAACAAAGAACTCTAAGAAACAATATAGTACCTTATATGGATAGAGTGGAAAGAATAGTTCTCACTTGTTGAAAGTACTTAGAATGATGCCGACAGAAAAATATTCGTTTTTTTTATATACAAAAACCCGGCAATATTTCCTAATCGGTAACGGACGTAACGGACAGATAAAGCATTAAAGCTTAGATTTTTATCGTCATTGTAAGTCTTTTTTATCACATAGGTTTTTTTTTCTCAAATTTTAATCAAAGTTAGAAGTAAGCGCACGGAATTAAGTCTGGGTTGGCTCAGCTTAATACAAGACGATCGGCATCGAAATACTTCGTTCTGTTAATAAAACAGTCACTGACTTAACTACACGTTACTACTGCCGTTTAATTGTGATCAATATTTATTAGAATGCGTCAATTAAAATAACCATGCTCATAAATGTAGTGCACTTTTAAATAGCTCGTCCTGTTTTTACATATTTGGCTAAACTTTTTTGAAGATTTCTTTAAAGATGACCCTAAGCCTAAAATCATATAATTAGAGCCACAATGTTATATTCTATAAGCAGCTGGGGGCTTCCGGCTGGAGTTAAATGTCGTGTGCGCAAAGTTCAGGCCGAAGCTTTTAATATGAAGTGGTTAGCTTGTGCGAAAAAACAGTTGATTATTGAGCAGGATTTCTTATGTTTTAAAAACACAGTATTTCCCATAAAATCTGTGTTCCAATAGCCTTAACAACTTCAACTCTTAGACTTGCGTTTATTAGGCTAATCCTCTTTTTAATGTCCACAGCGTCCGCTTTTGTGTTGAAATTCGTGCTGTTGTCTCATAATAGTTGCTACACTACTAGGCTATCGGATGTGGTAGGTGAAGCACTCTAGAAATATTCTTTAATATGGCCCAAATACCGTTGTTTATTGCACTTGCTTGTTTCTCTCAGCGTTATTGGTACATAATTAAATATAACGCCCCAACAGTATTTCATACTATTTTTAAAATGATTACACAACTTCTCTGAACACTCTAAAATGTCGCTAACTTCTGTAATTTGAAATCACTATTCGATTTCATTTTGTAACCTCCATTCATTTGGTAATAAAACACAAATTAGAAGTTTTCCTAGGTATACCGGCTAGTCTCCAGTTTACCTAAAAAAAAAGTAAACCCTTTTTAAAATATAATTAAAGATTGCACCTTACACAGCTCCTACTAAATCTGTGCTATCCGTTTATAATGTTTGCTCTTCGAAAATACAGGACCTCGAAGATATCATAAAAACAGGGCGTTGCTATGTTTTTATTGGCTGCACTCGTTCTCATGAAGATGGAACGTTTTAACTTAGTGACCTTTGTAGCGTTTATGTCACTATAGGGAACACATTTATCTGGAGACGATAGCTATGCAGTTAGCAAGTGACTATGTACTAAACACCTCGGGAAAAGGTTTACAATTGCCCAATGAAAATACGCGAGATGTTACCATGTTGAAACCACTAGACTATCCTTTTTTATGTGATACCGGCAATATTTCCTCCAATTGCTCTACAGTTTCCAAAAGTGTAACTTAAAGCAGTACATGCAATAGAATTTTACGCGATAGAGATAGAAAACGAGACAGAAAGGGAGAGGTTACATTATGAAATTAACATAGAAAGACAAGACGATGTCTCTGTGCTCGAGCAATTTCGTAAGACAGAAAAACTTCGCATTGGGTCAAAAGGTTACTAAATTAGTGATTAACCTACACAAATACTGCTGCACAAAATAGGTGTTTCATATAGTGCCTATGTTCTTCATTATCTTTGGCTGGACAGTAGCTCTTACCGACCAACAAACTTACCCAGTCGTTTTCTTGATACAATGTGTGGACAATTTCACCTCGTTTGACCCCAATTTCGTCGTCTACACACGGCGTGAAGTCATGCAGGACAACAACCTCGGAGTTGGGCCCGAGTCCGTGTTCTTTCTCGAGGCCGACGCGGACCAAGGTTTCGATGCTGGCCGAACCCGTAATGCGGCCAATTGCTGGCGCCGCTGGCTTCTCCCCTTGCCGATCCCTTCGTTTCTTTGAACGACCAATACGGATTGGGCACATAAAAGCCATATCGTCGTTGTAGCCCTCAACTAAACCAGTACAAGTGTCTTACTTGAACAATTAAATGTGTAACTCCACAGGCCGACTCTTCTCCTGCTTACAAGCTAGACACTCAGTCTCAGAAAATAAACAACCAATGTGTATTAGAAGCACTTTCCCGAAACGGGGAAGGACGTGCAGTAGTCCCTAAGGAAAACATTACATTTCATGAGTCTCTAGACCTTTAAACAACCGACGACGAGTTCCTCTAGTAGTCCTCAATTACAGCAAACGTAACAAGAATCCAGTGGTTGTGTAAAAGTCTTTGATGTATTGTACTTAGTTGTCTTCTTGAACTTTCTGAGCTTTTGAGATAACTGGCCAAAGACGAGCGTGTCAACACCAAATGTTTTTCAATAACTTATCGTACCGGGGTTGATTGATCCATGCGAGTAATCGAGCTTAAGTCAATCCCACAAGCACTCCAAAGTTACGTTATAGATCACCAGCGAATACGCAGGACAAACTAGCTTCAGAACAAGTCAGACGGTGTCCGTAGTTCGTCTATATTATACTCAGTAAAGTTTACCATTGCCGGTGTCCTTTTTCAATCCAGATAGGGTCATTTACACTGGACTCTGTTGTGCTTTAGGACCACCTAGGCTAAAACTGCAATGCAAAGGCGATAAACAGTTTTATGTAGACAGCGCTGGTGGACCGTTGCGCTCGCCGTAGAAACGTACGCTAGTGCTGACAAAGATTTGTAGAAGAAGAAAACTCCAATAAGCAGAAACCTGTTTAATACCACCTGACGCTCTACCGAAAGTCCGCTGAGTTGGCGGCGGAGCTTCAGCAAAAGGCGGCTTTTGGCTGCCTAAGTGCTCCGACACCAGTTCACTCGGAGCGAATTCAGAATCTTGATGTTTGTTTCAATCGGAAGGTAAACAGCGCGACGATCCTGTGGGCAAAAGCAAGCTGACGACCAAGACGAAAATTACGAAATTTTTAGCCGTCGATAGTCAGTAGCTGTTCGAGGATGATACATCTATATTTATTTCAAATGTTTGTATTAGAACTAACAGCTGAAAGATAACGTAGAATCTGGCTTTGATCTTGACAGGCTTCGTTACCGTGATGGTGCAGTGGCAACGTGTTTCCTACTAATCCTACGCACATGCGATGTAGTCTGGGTTCGAAACAGGACGCGTTCATTTCGTACTGGTAGTGGCCAGCAGTCCTGAGCGATGCTTAATTAACATAATACCGAACATAGAACTCAACACATTTTGCATTTTTAGGCCCCGTACGGCGGATACTTAGTCAGTCCGCTATGTTGGCGGATCCTCTCCACTGCTCGGAACGATCGCTCTTGCCCTCGATGTGGCGAGGGTCCATTTTCTATTATATTCTACTATTATCTGAATGGGCGGCGAAGTCGCACACCTGTTGCATCCTCAAGCCCGAGTTTTTCTGCTACATTTTTGGTTCGATCAGTTTGAACAGTTATTATTGTTGTTGTTGTTGTCGTCCAGTGGCTTATGTCGACTACCTATGTAAGTCTGCTATCCTGACAACCTAGCGGGGTACAATACGCGATCAGCATAGGCTGCCAGTAGAACGCTGGGAATAGACTCGAAAAGCTTGGGCCAAGCACTACCTTAGACTGTGTGTCGTAGCAGATGCTGCCGGTTAGTTGATGGTCAGAAGCGAGATGAGGGGCTATTAAAACAAGAAGTCGACTGGATGAGAACGCAATCAACGCTAATGGAGCCTGTTCATAGGCCTTCAAGGCCTCTGCTAGCCGATTGACGAGGCTGGTATAAGGGACAGCCGAAGTTGGGATTCTATTTCTTGATTTGTCGACTGTTTATGCTGGGGTCTTTTTTGCCAGTTTTTTTTTTTGCTAAGGTGTAGTCTGTATTATTAGTGTTAGCAGGAATACAAGAGAGACAGTGTATTGAAAATAGCCAATTTTTTCTGCGGATTCTAATTTATGTTAAGTGTCGGTATTCATTCTACGTTAAATTATCTTACTGACTTAATATGACGAAAATATGTGAAAATTTATAGCTATAATGTTCTAAACATATTTTTCGCCTTCAGAAGCAACTGTGAGAAAATGTCAGTGTTTTTTTGTAAGAGCATATATTCAAGTCTCTTAAGCATTTCTTTGTTAATAATGGCGTTGTCTTAAGCTTTTCCAAGTCAATTGATTATGTTTAGATTCCCAGCACAGAAACGTACAATACAATTATAACAAAACTATGATCAATAAAAACACGTATTTTCTGTCTATGTACGCAAACGCCATGATACGTAGAGCTCATCACATATTTTCATTTGACAAGTGAAATTCATACAGTTATGTTCTAGCATCAGAAAACAAGATTACATCGCTCTGCTAGCCATTAACAGTTCATTGGCTGACTCGAATGAGCATTGTCATTTGAGGCTTTCCGGGTGAGCCTAATCTTTCCTCTGAGTTTGTTTGAACTATCGATACGCTCAAACATTTCGTCATTGATTTCCTGACGAAATGCAAAGCATAAATAGACATTAATGAGGTAGCACCAAGACCAACTCTGCTTAGCCATGTCAGGTAATATCAGTTACCAACGTCTACACATACAACCCTGCCGAAGCTGACATTCAGTATCCCATTAACCTCGCTAGCGGCTTCCGCCGTAAGAGGAGCACCATCGTTTGTAGATGGCGGTACCAGCAAAAGTACAGATTTTGGCTTGTCCAACCCTGCTGTCTTTCGGATGACCGCAGTTGCCCCTTCGTGTCGCGCCAATCATACAGACGGCTTGTGTAAGTACCCCATGTACTAGAGTATCTGGAGGAAAAAGTCAAGCATAAAGTTGGCTCTTCGAAGCACCGGCTAGTAACATCCGACGAATGGGCTGGATACACTCGATTGCTGTATATATGCTCCTAAGTGTAGAGCTTGCTGTTCAAGAAGAAGGGTGTGTTACGACGGAACCTGTCGATAAATATCGTGAGAACTGTGATTACCAGGTGGACTTCACGTGGAACTAGTCATATGGCTGATTGAAGCCATTATACGCTTAGGCATCCAATTGTGGATCCATTGTTATCGAACCTAAAATTAACATGGAGGCCTTCATGAAGGCGATACAGGATTATAATCATTAACAACGTGTGTTTAATTGTACACATAAATCTGCCAGCTCAAAAGAGGCAAATTATGCATTTGTGGCCCATTTAAATGAATATGTATTTTTTAAAATCATTATAGCACAGATTGCGTTTGCTTTATGCAATCAAAGCAAAATGCTCAAAAAAAAGTTTCGTGCAACTCTTCAAGGTAGTGAGCTCAGACAAGGTCAACGAAGAAGAAATCGAAAACCAGAAAAACGGCCATCCAGTCTGTTTAGACAACTTGGACATAGTAGATGTTGCTAGTTTGAATTTTGAAACAATGTCTACTTTGCTGCATTTAGCAAATCATTCAGACAAAATTATCACAATTCGTTTCCGGTTAGGTCCGTTTCGAATTCATTATCAAAATCTCCTGTTTTCAGAATCAGGCAATATGATTAGTGATCCTTTAAACTACAACATATCGCCTATGAAGGTAGGAACAGAACCAGCTTGAAACAGGAACCTTAATGGCTGTCAAAGGTAACTTAAAATCACTTCGCCTCATCGTGTAAATTTCTATACAGTTCAAAAAAGTAATCGGTAATTATTTTTGTGTATTTTAGAATGCATCATCTTTAAACAATACAAATAGGAGATTAATGTATTAATCATGATGAAAGATGCTAGTACAGAAGACGGTTGTAGGTAAATTCCCTTGTATGCAGCTCTTGGTTGAATTTACATTCAAAAAAGATGGAAAGCTTTTAACGATCCATTTAATGCTTTACCTATTAAAGAAGTTTCATATTTCCGCCGACTCTTTTGTCTACTAGTGGGAGTCTACTTAGTTTTTCCCTAAAAAGTCGCTGTAAGTTGCTATACATGCTGTGCATGTAAATGCTATATATGCGCCATCTTTTTTTATTGGACGTTGAGGGCAAATGATTTATGCAGACCAGACTTTACAACTGTGTTGTTTGTCTAATACTGTGGGATTCTCACCTACTAAACCCTGGACCCCTCGAAGATTTGGGCTTTGGTTCGGGATATAGTTTAATATTACTTCGAAACCATAGTCTGCAGGAACAGGCATTGGACTACTGTTTCTTTGTTATGTTCCGGCCCATCCTCCTTTCGGGTTCCCCTCTTCCCCGGGTACACTAGCTCCCGGGCGGGGTCTTGTGCCCTGCTCTCCCTTAGAAGCCGACTGTAGGACTTCAGAATCTTGTTCGTCTTGAACTTGTCCCTCCGTTATTTTCTTGCGGCGCATCCTTTCGCCGTTTATTCATAATGTCGTCAAAGAAAACCGCGCGCGGACCATGTCATCATCGTTATTTACGTTTCTCATGTATGCGCCATCTATCGGCTTTCTAAACGCCCATGGTGGTATTATAGGATGTAACATCAATACGCAAAGATCAGCATCATCATTACCGTGCTTGATTCCTAAACAAACCCAAATCGAATGTTCGCCCGCCGGCACGGATCTATTGCCTGGTGTGTATTAAATTAAGGACAATTATCAAGGCCCTTGTGTATCATCAATCTTTGTGTAAGATTCTAACCGTCACGTATAATCATTTAGACAACTCTTTATAAGATAGTACTAGCATATTTCAATATCAGAAGGTTGCGTCAGGGTGATAATACTTATTTGATCGAAACCTGTGAGCAACGCGCTCGGACAGCATTAATTGTTGTGAGGGCGCCATTGAAAGCTTTAGCAGAGGCCCAGACAGATTCTCAGACATGAAAAAAACAATTGAGCTCTTCGGTTGCTGTTTATTTTTACCGTATTTCTTCTAAAGAAAAATGTGTGTGTTTTGTTAACTTTTGCCGAAGCCAGCTTCTTTTGCATACTTATATACGTATTCAGTTTGGGTTACTATTTTTCCTATTTGAATTCGGGAGTCTACAATAACTGATTTTTCAAAAACAAACATTTTGTTCGATCACGATGTTGATCTGTTGAATTAAGGCGGAAAACTTGCCATTATTTCAAAGCTGTAGAACCGACTTTCTTCTCTACTTCTCGTGATAGAGGAAGGAAGTTCATTTGCGATAATCAACGGACGCTAGATTAAGCTGGTACATGCATGTCAAATAGAGAAATGTGAACGTTAACTATTATGGATTTACATTTTCGGGGCACCATTTCTTTGGTATTATTACTAATATATTGCTAAGTCTATTTTAGGCGTATTTATTTAAATCTGTCTCCTTTTTTGTGTATACGCTCGTTGTGTCTATTTTTGAATATCTCGCTTTTTTTTAATAATAGTTAATAATAATAATAACAATATTTTGAAATATTGCTCACTTATTATTTCAAAAGTCATGATTAGTTTTGTACTAAATTAATTGAGGATTTTTTCAGATTTCGAGGTCGTGAGGATTCTGCAAAAGCAGTCGTGCTGAAGTTTATACCTGACATTATCGTGTTATCTGTTAAATTAACGTATATTATGAGAATTCAGATTACAGTGCCTATAAACACAATTTATATCATTTCCAGGTGACGTTTGTTTGATATTTATTATAAGAATAGGACACTTGTTGGCGAATCGTTAATTAAAAAATACGGCGATGTCTATTGGTGTACCTATTAAGGTTCTTCACGAAGCAGAGGGACATATTGTCACTGTTGAGACTACCAGTGGAGAGGTACGTATTATGCAGGATTCTTTGCTATTAAATATCATAGCTTACGCAATGAGTTCAATTCACTATAAAAAGCCTGCATGCAGTTATTGCTCCAGCAAGTTTAGTTATCTCTTTGGGGTGAGTAATCTTCACTGTCATCTGTTTTCATAAAACAACGGATGTTTTTAAACCATTTTTTTAAAAGACTTTTTCGTACCTATAGAAAAATTACAATGTCTTATGTACGAAGTATCCGATAATATTTCAGGTGTACCGCGGTAAGTTAGTGGAGGCCGAAGACAACATGAATTGTCAATTGCAGAGCATTGTGGCCACGTACCGTGATGGAAGTACATCGGAGCTTGAGAATGTCTATATTCGAGGCAGCAAAGTCCGTTTCATGATACTACCGGACATGTTGAAAAACGCGCCGATGTTTAAAAAACCACCGGGTGCTGGTGTGCAAACAGGCGCTGCAGCGGGTCGAGGAAAATCTGCTATTTTACGTGCGCAAGCTGCAAGAGGTCGCGGTCGAAACCTTCGAGGCCCACTCTTGCCAAAACCGAAACAGTGATTGCGTGACTCCAATACTCTGAACATAAAATAGGGACAATAGCATGGACTTTGAAAGCTGGTAACAGATAAGAGGATCTCAATATGATAAAAGTGGATGAATTTTGGGAAGTGAGTTTTCGGAAGATAGTTTGATTGGAGAATGGAAATGGAAACAAAAACTCGCATAGGTGGTCTTATGCTATACAGCTTGTGTGAATTGATCTGTTGGGATTAGGTTCGGGTCACACAGGAAATTTCCACCCTCTTAGTGTTGAAACTGTGTGTAAAATAGCAGTAGAAGCTGGTAAACGCAGGTAAGTCGCAGAGAGGAGTCGAGACTCAAGGGACCCTTAGCTGCGACTTTTTCTTTTGTATATTGATAAGGAATATCACGTTACTTGTAACGGTATCTAAGGCTGGAGGGAAGGAATTGAGTACAAGGTTACAAACATTGAGAATAAATTCACATCTGACGAGCGAGCGTTAGGGCCAGCATGTATTGAAGGGTTACCTTATATGAAAGATAGCATGAGAAGCTGTTTAACCTTGCTCATATTGTGGTAAATAAATGCACGTCCTGTACACTGTGTCAAGTGTGATTATGTTGCGTCTTTAGTGTTATAAATAACAATGAGGTAACATGATATATATCGCCAAAGAATATTGTCAAATAATCGATCTGAACCTGCAGCATATATGCAATATATGTTATTTTCTTAGACGATAAGACAAATTTAATAGGAAAGGGAGAGAACTTTATTAGCTGAGGAAAGTTAAACTAGCTATTCGACTCGGTCGTATTAAACGGGACAGACCATGACCTTCCACGAATCTCCAACAATATATAAATAGCTTAAACGGAAGATCCAGAAAAAATAAATTTTTAATAAAAATAAATTTTAAATAATTTTAAAGAGAATAATCCTACTTATCCATTGCGGCATCCAATTTGCAACAATAAACAACAGTATACGATTGTCCTAAATGTAAGCCAAATAGAGTAATAACCTACTTACGAGAACACAAAACCGAGACTTTTTTTGACATAAATATTTTATTTGTTTAACATCATAGACAGACAGTTCAGTGGGACTTATACGTTGAAAATATAGAGAATTGGCGGGAAAGAATCGTTAATAATCTTGGGACGGGGTGCTCTTAAATAAATAGTAAGTACATATATATATATCATATATTCATACAATAATTGTATAATATTAATAATAATAATAATATTCTATCATTATAACTATTGTATATATATATATATATAACTAATGTTTTTATCTCTCTTATCATATATTTTTCATATCTTGATCTTAACTCGTCAGCCTTTCAGGCCTTTATATTGAGAGCATCCATTGTAAATTATGATTCGGAGCTGTTTTTTGCAATTTGTTACGCAAATTGGTATGATGGTAAATCATAATGTTGGCCAATAATAATAGTAATAGTTATTTAATGGTACTGTACGATATTAAATAGTGTCCGTTTCTGTTTTGTTGATTTGATCTCGATATAATCGTTCGTCTGCCTCCCCCAATCATCAGCATATTCTTAACTATTTGTATTAACAACACTCTCAGGGGCCTTCGGTGGAGTTGCGGATACTCAGTCAAATACCTTCTCTGAACCATCAGAAGTCTTTCGAAGTTGTTTCTTTGTTTAACCGACAATTAGACAACTCGACCGATCGGCAGACTGCGACCCGATGTTTCGTTTCCTTCGACTTCGCAGTAAATACGAATCGACAACAAAAAACCTGCTCTTACGGAACACATATCATCGCTGTGAATATGCTACCTTTAAAATAATTAACGTAAATGTTTGCGCATGACCGTCATGATTACCTTCGCCTCTTTGTTGCCACAAACACTTATAGTAATAGAACATTAGTCTTAATAGTGATTACCACTCCGTCATTTGGTTATCGTTTCGGCACCACCACTTCGTGTTTTTTCCTGGATATCACCTGTTTGTTCCTATTGTGTGTGTTCTGTTTTTTCTAAAATTAAATACATCTTGCCATGTCTCGACAAGGAGTATGAGTGTCGTTGCATCGCGAATGTCGTTCTACTAGTATGCTTTTATATTATACTTTTCAGAGATCAGGCCGGATTGTTCACCGGAGCTCAAAATAGGAATGAGACCAACACTAAGAACGCACGGGAGATTGATGCTTGTTTAGATTCATTATTATCAAATACTATGCAAACATCATGCCCTCCTGCGTCATCACAGTAAAAAATCAGTGTAGCTTCTAACTGGAATGATTTGGCGGTTGTATCTGCGTTTCTGAGTATTCATGTGGTTGTCTGAAATGCATATGTGTTTTAAGTTTCCATTTTTATTGTCTTGTGTTGTATAGGTGTTGTATACTATGGACTAGGTAGGCTGCGTCCCTCAAACTGGACCACATAATTATTTGTGATATAAAGAGGTCAACCCGTTGCTTAGGCATTTTATGTGGGGAAAATTAACTAATTAATGTGGGGAAACCGCTGTTATTAGAAAGATAACGGTTTGTAATAGATATAGCGAATTACAACGTACGCGGTCAGTGTCTACTTCGATTGTGTCATTTTTGTTTGCAGTTTGTTAACAAGGGTTAAACAGTGCATTTAACGTCTTGAGACCTATACAGGCATTTTTCTATCGATAGAAAAGTAGATGTTGATTAGCTCTTGGTTATCCCTTTTTAAACGTGCTTAGGCGTATGGTATTTGTTGGTGTAATATTAAAATTGTTGTTGCAACGATAAAACCGCCAAGCCCAATGAAACAAAAATTAAGAAAGCCTAGATAAACGTAACACTAAGCCGGTGCTTGCAAGCTCTTGTATTCCTTTAAGATGCGCCAAGCCATTTTTCACCCTACAGAGCAACGTAGAAATAGAAAAATATACATATTCGCGAAGAAAATAATTGGCCAGTTTCATTGTTTCGTCTTTTTGTTTTTTTTTCTAAGTCTTTGGTTAGAATCTAGGAGACATTTAACGGATGCAACACAGCCGCTTTAATCGCTTCTATCCACCAAATTTAATACGCTTCGTATGAACTACTCTTTTGTTGTTTTTTGATAATAGGACAAATATGGCCTATATCCAAAGTCATATGATTTTTAGTATGATTATACCAGGGAAGACAGTTGCGCTTACTGGATGATCACGAAAGCTGGATTAGTGTAAGGCGCTTCTCTTTCGTCAGTGGTGGTAAAGTGAAGGCATGTACATCTTGTGTCTGCTGTTGTCGACCGATAATAATTATCCCTGGTATTTTACTCATTGTAAATAGTATATTTTTGTTGATACGCATTTTACAGACGATCCGTCGTTTCCATACCAGAACCCCACTTCCAGCTTATGGTCAGAAGACGGGTCAACCTTTATGCAACATCGTTATTCTTAGGCCCTTCGTTGATTCATTGTCTTTACTGTCTGTGCCTAAAGCAAGCTTTGATGGATTTTTTTTTCGAAGACCCGCTGGCTTCTTGCAGCTTTCTTTTTTTGGACTTTGCCGTTTTGTGTTGCCTCACATCTTCTATTGTGCCGTCTGCTACAGCCTCGATTTTCCTACAACGCAGGTTCTGTAAGTGTTAGAATTAACACTACGGACCGGATCGTTGTAATACACTCCTAACATTTAGCCGTATCCTGTCATCTAAGTTGCATTTCACTTCCCACTTTGTTAATGTTAATGTCTCGACGTGTCGATAAACTTCCCGTTTATCCCATTCGGTACTTTGACCGCTGTTTTCCTCTTCGTGATACGTTATCTGCCAATTATTCAATCTTTGCCTGCACATCTTGATCTCTTGACAGCTTTTCAATTCAGCTATGTCGATATCACCGGTCTCTGTATCCACTATCCCTATCTACTTTATTTGTGAAAACTTCATCCTGATCATGTTGCACTCTAGGCAGCCTTTCCGAAATATCATATTTGTTTTACCTGATCCTTCTCTTTTGTTCCAAAAGTGACCCGCACTTTCTCGCCTTCCCATATACGCATTTTATTGAGTCGCCGTTTCTCCTTACTTCTCTCTTCTCTTAGTCAATAACACTCGTTGCTTGTTTCATCGACGTCTATCTATCGCCAAGTTTGGCGGTCTATATTTTTCCATTTTCTTTCGTTTTCCTGCTTAATGCACAGCAAAGCATACGTAATTTCTCTTCAAATAAACTTGACTCCTTTAACCGTATCGCAGGCCCTTCAAGTGAATGCAGCTGGGTCGATGTTTCTACTGTTTCGTCGAGTCATTAACGATCCTTTAGGTTGGCAACCGGTGTCAGTTGAGAAGATGCCACCATAGGTTACCCAGCGTACCAGGAAACAAAGCAACTATGGGTCTGCTAACAAAAATGATTACAAAGTAATGAAGAACAACGTTTATGGTGATGATAATCGTAATAATCATCTTACTAATGATGATAATATTGTAAGACGAAACAATGATTATCTTATTTTCGCTTCTTCCTTCAATTGTCGTTTTTCCCTACGGCCGACCCATCACCAAATCCGTGTTCTTTTACTACCATTGCCACCGCTCGGGTAAATGATCTACTTAATGCGTCTTTGGTCGGTGTTAGGAACAGTGTCAGTGAACAGCATACAATACGGACTACCAAGGGGTTCGTGGTTGAATTTATAATTGCGTTAAGAAGTCTTACAAAATCATGTTTGAAAAAGTTAGTTGTCTTGTCATTTGTGGTAATGATAGCTGTTTTCTAAAAAAAAAAAGCGGATATTGCGTAGCTATGTCTCGTTCCTTTTGCCAGAACTTACATCCATTTTATCTAAAGATTCGCTGGGCTTATTTATATACTGAAGCAATGATTCGTTCATTATTGGTTCATTCATCGGAGCAAGTAGGTATCTGAGAGGTCTTCCTTACTTCACATTATTTATCATGCGTTTGCCGCGACAGATATATGTGCCGATCAAGTCCTGTCTTTGGTCTGATTATGAATCCGAGTTTGGGTACAACAATTGAGAGAATTTTCACTAAGTTTGGGCATATACGAAGTGCTCGCGTTAATGCGATAAAAATTAATAGTGTAAACTTATTATAACGGCTGAGAAAGAAAGGTTTTCAATGCTAATTTGTCAAAGGGCTTGTCATCTGGCTACTGTCTAATTGAGCACAACTCTGCTACGGTCAGTGTGGAGCGGTTAACCTAAAACATCTTGAGTGATCGTAGTCAATCTATGCAGTTGTATTGCAGCTATGACGTTAAATATCCTTCAGTAGAATAATTGATCTTCTAATCTCAAACTACTGCTCAAGGTTGCCTGACGAATAAGTCAGCCGTATGTCAGAGACGTATTTAATATATGCTTAGCATTTTATTCTTTAGAAAGAGCCTTGAGAATGGCGTGCACCTCTTCGGCAATTGCCGTTAGCACGAATTCGAATTGTGCTTTGGTGCGAACCATATTGGCACGCTGATCTCTGACGTGTTCAAGGGTAGCGGCTACATCAATCTCTTTAGCGCCTTTGGCGATGCGGTTGAGTACCATATCGGCAAGGATGTAGGTGCCAGTGCGGCCTGAACCATCGCTGCAATGGACTACGATCGGGCATGAACGTCCGCGATACGATTTGTTCACTTTTCGGCGGAAGTCAAGCAACGCTTTAGCAGAAGGTGGCACTCCTGCTTCCGGCCACGACAAAAAGTGGAACTGTGTGACCGTACGGGTTTCCGATGTGTTTAGATTCTTGAGGTAGAAGCTGCGCACTAGATAGTCGTCACACCAGACGTGTTCGGACACAAGGTGCACCTCATACAGGGAGTACACCTCGGAGCCTTCTTCAGGCCAATAGCGGTGGCACATTGCCACACCATTCTCCATTAGTCGAGTAAGTGTAACAATCACTACGCTACCTTGCTCCCACACCATCTGCAATCAACAGGCCCAACCGTAACAACAACAATAGTAACAAACATGAGTAAGAACTGTGAACTGGAAAAGGGACTGTTTTCGGATAAACACCAGATAAACCGGACGGAGTTTAGACCTTCGAAGACAATCGAAATAGTTAATTAATACAACTATGGACTTCAGGTAGAGAAGAACGTGTGAATTAAAAAAA